GTCCCAGCAGAGTGTGGCTACCACAGTGTCACCACACAAAAGGGCCAAGAAACACTCTCAGGATTCCCCAGTTGTCCCAATGGGGATGGTTTTGCTCCTCTGGATAACCCATGGAACACCTCAGGTTCCAACACATCCACTCAGCACCTGCTTGGGATGTTCTGTGGGCTCCAGGGTCAGGTTGGATGGAGCTTGGAGCAACTTGGACTGGGGGAAGGTGGGACAGGATGGGTCCTTCTAACTCAAACCATTCCAGGATTCCATGTGCTGGTTTGGATTGGCTATTAGGGATAAATTCCTCCCTTTGAGGAATCCACTGGAATGGATTTCCCTGAGCAGCTGTGGCTGCTCCATCCCTGATCCCTGGAAGTGTTCCAGGCCAGGTTGGGTAAAGCCTTGAGCAACCTGCTCTGGTGGGAGGTGTCTCTGCCCAGGGCAGAGAATTGGGACTGGGTGATCTCTAAGCTCCATCCCAACCCCTTAACACACTATGAAACTGAAGTGATCCAAAGTTTGCCTGAAGCAAATCTTCCTCTTGGCTTTGCCACTTGTTTGATTTGCCTCTTTGTTTCCTTGACTTTCTTTGCTTTCTCCAACACCTGCTGATTTCCTTCAGTCTAGATGCTATTCCTCTGGAGGAAGGAAAGGTTTTATATCAGGTTTTGTGGAGAACATCAAACAGGAATTAGCCAAGAACAAAGAGATGAGGGAAAGCATCAAGAAATTCCGAGATGAAGCAAAAAAGCTGGAGGAATCCGATGCCCTTCGGGAAGCAAGGAGGAAATATGTGAGTGTTCCTCAGTGTTCCTGAGGATGTTCTTGTTCCCCACTCATGAGATCTCACTGTTCTCAGTGTAAATTTAAACCTGCAGATAAGCTCTGAGTTCATCCTGTCTGTTTTGAGGGGAAGCTGTGCCTGACTGGAAACACTCCCTGGGAAATGGATACCTTGGAGTGGTTATTTTTAGTGGGAAATCTTTCCACTTTGCTGGAATTCTGAGCAGCCAAAATCAGGAGATCTTAAACTGAATGTTAAATACCGTCTCTGCATTCTTTAAAGAGTTCTTTGGACTCTTTTTCATCCTTTAGAGAACTCTGACATCATGATTTACCCAACTGAGCTGTTGTTACTGATGAGTCAAGCCATGAGCTCCTCAAGTGGAGCTGTTTTCCCCCTGAGTTCCAGCTGGAATGGGATGTGTTCCATGCTAAAGGGGGTTGGAGGATTTTTTGCCCTCACAGTTACCTGCAGCTTGTTTTTTAATCCACAGAAAACCATTGAATCTGAAACAGTGAAGACCTCAGAGGTGATTAAGAAGAAACTAGAAGAGATCACAGGAACAGTGAAAGAGGTAAAAGGAAAGACCTTTCCCTAAGGCTTCTGTGCTCCAAGTTGTGTTTCCTGGCCATGTGAAGTATCATTATCACTGACAAGTGTTGCTGTTCCAAAAAGGATTAAGAGGATGCATCTCTAGGAT